TTGCTAGGTGGTAGCTGTAACTGTAGGTATCTGCTCTGCTTTTGACATGTTTCACTCAAAGGTAAGTCAATATATGTATTGTATGATATATAGATATAGATAAATAAAACGGATCGTGCCGACCCTGAATTTGATATCACTGCATAGCGTGGATTGATAGGTGTAGCCGTAGCTGCATTGTTGCTCTGTGCAATTGGAGGAGCGGGGGTGCCTAATGCAAGGCGTAAACAGTGAAAGTATTGCGCCCGAGTCGATGTACAAATTTGATGAGGCCATCGTGAGAAAAGGGTAGAACAGCAAGTCTGTTTTGTGCATGTGCCAACTACCAACTCTACTGGCTCGACACAAAGCAAAAAAATTATATACTAGCAATGCATATGTTTATTTCCCTACTGTTCATCATACTACATGTACTATACAACGCAGATCTCATAGGGTTACACTTCAATCTACACCTCGACAGTGGACTCTACTGAGTCATTTTATGCATGCTGTTCGATAGGTCGTGATGTGGTGAATACTGTGTCGACTATGTTTTCCACCGTTCCTCATAAACAGATCTAGCCAGATTCACCCTAGATTTCGGGTTTACTCCATCCTGTTGTGTTCACTTCCTGGAATCAGCTAACATTCATCCCCCATTCTACTTCTTCGTCGGCTTCGGTGGCGGACAATACTAAGTCCTGGCGAGTCTGCTTCTATGCTACACATTGGTATCCAAGTCTCCAGCAGTTCATCCGCAATTGAGACCGACAATGATACTATCGAGTGAATCTCACAAACTCAGCTTATTCTCCCATTCCATGCCAAAATATTAATTTCGCCTCAGATGCGAGATACCAGCCAGTTCATTTATAGTTCCTTCTTCGTCTCGGGAGCGGACTCTACTAAGTCCTGACGCGCATGCTTTTTAGTGGGCCAGAGCGTGTCAAACGCCGTGTCTACTATCTTCTCCACCGGTTCATCGCAGATCATTGGCAAAAACGGAATCAGTGCCAATCCTGCAGCCGTTGGTCCGAACCTCTGGAAGGGCTGCAGTGACTTCACACTCGCAAATGCTTTTGTAGCCATATTCACTGCACAGAAAAGGAGTGATACACAATATGTATGTTAATCGCAGAAGAGCATCCATGGATAGAATGCGACTATGTGTATATTAAGTTGAAGACGTAATCGGTGCCCTCTCCCAAGTACAACTCCACATAACAAGCGTGAGACACACTATCTATGCATGAATTTCCGTGGCTTCATAGTGGAAAACGCTTCAGTCGACAGAACACGTAAACATAGACACAGACGCAGACACACACACATATACATAGAAATTAACACCAGAGGAATGCAATATTACGTGGGATGAAATAGGTACGAGTTTCAGTTTTGGATTATAGGCGGGATCGGTGTGAACACCGCAAGAGTTCAGTCGTGACTCTGGTAGGGCCGCAGCTTCCTCATGTCGTTAAAACATTTGCAGCCCATCTCCATGTACGAATTAGACCAATATATACCAATAACAATATTGTATACCAATCCTGCTGTTAGTGGACAAAGTAACTTTAGGATTTTAGGTGAACCTTAGTACAGCCCTCG